GCGGAGGCCGACGGACAGCGGAACAAGACCAGCGGAGGGAGGGAAAAACGGAAGCACCTGAACCAACCTAACACGGCGAAAACCTACACCTACCTCAGCTTGCGAAGGACCCAACCTACCTGTAGAGAAGAGAACACATGAAATAAGGGACCCATGGGGGACTAGTTAATGAACTGATACATCCACACGATCGTGCAAATTTCCCCTTGTCGCAGGCTCAAAGGCCTAAATGTCACGTCAACCCCATAGACGGCTGTCAGTGTTCAAGTGAATTACGTGCACAATTGAACCTCACCAACGACCAAAAAATAAGAGTCACCATACCTGCAAGCATGGCCTGTGCCTGGAATCCTCATGTTGCAATTGTCGGCAGCTGAAATTGCTCGAGCAATATTGAAAAGGTTGTCACGGCTGCAGACTAACAGTGACAGTGAGGCGGATCATCTGGAAGAATTGAAGACACACGGCGGCCAGTTGTTTCAACGCTCACTCGACCGATCGGTGAGAAGCTGGAAATTGAACGACTGTTTCGCTATTATATTTACACGAATTACTGATTCAAAAGTGTAAATTCAGACATCGAGTCGTTACATCCACATTTTGCTTAGAAAAGCATTCCCCGAAGGGTTCATGCCACCTTGACGAATCCAGCATGAATCACACACTTGCTCAGAACAGTCATTGCGAATTTTGATGTGGAGCGCAACAGACGTGCAAAAAAAAACAACAGTAAACTGACACGAAGAATGAAAAACAATAAGTATATATATATATGTATATATAGACGTATAATCACAGTAGACATTGACCGTATAGAAACAACAGCGATAAAATATATGTCCCCCCAGCTGCGACTTATATGCGCCCAGGGGCGGGACTATATATATATAGTTATATTATGCAGGTACAGGTTCATGCGTCCATGAACCCATCCACCACATCTTCCGTAGCTTCGTTGGGCAACATAGGAAGATGGGCTGTTGCCCCCCTGCAACAAATTGAGGTTTTACATCTATACAAATGGTACACACACACACACACGCCCCACCGAAGCGGGGCAGATGAAATGAAAATGAAAGTGAGATGAAAATGAAAATGAAATGAAATTTACTTAACCAGGACGCGAAGAGGGGAACGCAAAAGAAGAGGGACAGAGAGAACACCAACACAACACACCTGGCCCGGTGAAAAGGCAAGGAGAAAGAAAAGAAAAGCGGAGGCCGACGGACAGCGGAACAAGACCAGCGGAGGGGGGGAAGACGGAAGCGCCTGAACCAACCTAACACGGCGAAAACCGACACCTACCTCAGCACGCGAAGGACCCAACCTACCTGTAGAGAAGAGAACACATGAAATAAGGGACCCATGGGGGACTAGTTAATGAACTGATACATCCACACGATCGTGCAAGTTTCCCCTTGTTGCAGGCTCAAAGGCCTAAATGTCACGTCAACCCCATAGACGGCTGTCAGTGTTCAAGTGAATTACGTGCACAATTGAACCTCACCAACGACCAAAAAATAAGAGTCACCATACCTGCAAGCATGGCCTGTGCCTGGAATCCTCATGTTGCAATTGTCGGCAGCTGGAATTGCTCGAGCAATATTGAAAAGGTTGTCACGGCTGCAGACTAACAGTGACAGTGAGGCGGATCATCTGGAAGAATTGAAGCCACACGGCGGCCAGTTGTTTCAACACTCACTCGACCGATCGGTGAGAAGCTGGAAATTGAACGACTGTTTCGCTATTATATTTACACGAATTACTGATTCAAAAGTGTAAATTCAGACATCGAGTCGTTACATCCACATTTTGCTTAGAAAAGCATTCCCCGAAGGGTTCATGCCACCTTGACGAATCCAGCATGAATCACACACTTGCTCAGAACAGCCATTGCGAATTTTGATGTGGAACGCAACAGACGTGCAAAAAAAACAACAGTAAACTGACACGAAGAATGAAAAACAATAAGAATATATATACATATGTATATAGACGTATAATCACAGTAGACATTGACCGTATAAAAACAACAGCGATAAAATATATGTTCCCCCAGCTGCGACTTTTATGCGCCCAGGGGCGGGACTATATATATATATATTATATATATTATATATATATTATTATATATATATTATATATATAATATATATTATATATATTATATATATAATGCAGGTACAGGTTCATGCGTCTATAAACCCATCCACCACATCTTCCGTAGCTTCGTTGGGCAACATAGGAAGATGGGCTGTTGCCCCCCTCCAATAAATTGAGGTTTTATATCTATACAGATGGTACACACACACACACATGGAGGACGATCAAAAGATCATTGACCTTCATGCCAATATGAAAAGAACATCACACTGTGCTCTGCACCTGCGCGCACGCGCAGAGCACATGAACAACACCAACGCTCACACTGCTATACAGAACCCTCGTCGCCGGTGTGCGAAGCTCTACAATTAAAAAACATACAGTACATGGATTCATGACCATCCCCCAACATGGGTGAATTACACAAGCTTTGACCCTGGCACATAGCAACAATGAACTGATTTATTTCACAATGAACTACTTGACCGACTGATTTATTTCGTTCGCAGGAATTTATCAGTTGATTGAACTCATATCGACTGCGCCCAGCGCTGCGATAACGCCTCAAAAACGTTCTTGTCCCCCGCCCAGAGGGAACAGTGGATGTGACCTTACAGTGGGAATTAACAACAGCGAAAACAAAAGGGCGTCAATCGAACCAAGATGTGCCGACGGAGTGATTAGTGTGGCATCGGTACGCCATCTTTGGAGACTGTACAACATCTCTGATGTGAGGGGAATAACGCCATGGGTACAGAACATGCCATCGATCGTGGAAATTTGTGGAATCACTTGTGTGGCCCGGGCATCCGTTGCCGCTCAGATTGCTGAAGGGTCTGGGCATAAACGTGGCCTCGGTGGCAAAAAGCAATGCCGAACATGCAACAACTGCACGTAAATCCAAGAATTATTTAAACAAATGCAAGTCGACCATTCGTCGTTGATTCAACAGATTTTCACTATATGACAATTCCTATGTTCCACCTCACTGAAAGTCTGGAAAACAAAGTGTTGGGGAGTACTTTTTGACTTTTGCCAAGGTGCGCGGAAGCCATGGCGCTCAGACAAGGTCTTGACAGCCCATTTGAAGAATACATGCTGATCTGCTGTTGTGAGACAATCCTCCAATGCGTTGTCATCACGATGTGATCTCACACTTGAGAGGAAGGGGAGGAGAACGAAAGGTATATAATTGGGATGAAGCCTAGAATGCAAAAGAAATGGGAGGCAGGGACTGGAGAGAAAGGGAGAGATAGAGAGAGAGAGGGAGAGAGGCCATGGCAACTGGGGACTTGCAAGCGGCTCATTGGTTGACACTAGATGCATCAGCATCAGCATCAGCATCATCATCATCATCATCATCATCATGAGGATGCGGAGGAAGAGGAAGAAGAAAAGGAAGAGGAAAAAAAAAGAGGAGGATGCGGAGGGCTATGATGCATACGTATGCATACAAAACAACGCCCCACAAATTGAAGCCATGAAAAAAGAACGCACAGACACAACGCTTCAAACTCTGACCTGGCTGCGCATCTCCCTGGACTTCTCTGCCCCCTTTCGTGACATGTGAGGCTTTACGACTTTACGATCCAATTGATGTTCGTATATGTTCGTCATTTTGATCATACTTTGTGGTGTGTTGTGCTCTGGAGTTGGAGCTTCGAATCAAATTCTGACCCATGCAATCTGTCTCTCATTTTCACAAAGACACATGTGGTCCTGGTAGTGCCAGTTGATCTCAAACTGGCCATTGGCGTCTTCATGGTCTGTTTGGTAAACGCCAAAACCGCTCGCGTTTAACGTCTTCACCTTATGGCAGTCATGGACTGATTTTGTCAGAATTGCCTGACATATCTTCAAGAACCATATTCCACATACCTCATGCTTCAACTTGGCTCAACAGATTTAAATCATGTTATATAAATCGTCATGCAAGCATTGATCGCACATAAGGCTGCAGCGATGTCGGCCAAGAGAGCATATCTTCTCATCATCGACTGTGCATCGTCTGAGTTGTCAAACTGGATAAACAGTTCAAAACAGTGACAGGTAGTTCAAGATAGTTGAATTTGAAGGAACTTACTGGATCTTGCTAGCATGTGATACATCTCTACCTCTCATCGCTTTTACTGATGTTGCTAGACCCTCACTGCTTTCAACACAGAGCACCAGTCGGGAGGGATTGAAAGATTTTTTCAAGTTCCTATCTCATGAAGTGTTTATGAAGTTTTTATGAAGTTTTTTCATGGTACTTTTCCCGGCTCTTTGACGCCAAGTCACAGCAGGGCTTGCTCTGTGTGTCCCTGGAATCAGAAATTGCATCCTTGTCGGACAAGAGAAAAAATTCTGCCTCACGGCATCCCACAGAGTTGCGCAGGAGGTGAGGTGAACTTTTTCAGCGTTACTTAGAGTACACCAGGCTGCACTGGATCACAATGATCACATTTACGACACGACTCTGGTTTCGAGTCATGCACTCAACTTGTCAGAAAAGTGAAATGAAAAGTGCCTCTACGCCGGATTTGAAGACGTAGCCACGCTTCTTTGCTTCAGCTACCTGCGCCTTGAGAACTGCACGTGGTGACTGCGCCACTTCCTTCCCTGGCAGGGTCATACATGGCTGCCACATGACATACTGTAGGACACGAATGGAGACACCAAGATCCATCATAGAGGTTGCATTTGAGGAGCCAATTGGATCCAAATAGATCATCATGGATTCTTGTGAAAGCCACCGCTTCAATGGGGCTGACATGAGATGTTTGCTCTATACAATTGTTCATGGACATTCCCTGGAAGACTCATTTGTTCGGATCGCTAAGCCATGCTAGGCCTATGCCTATGTTACCTCGCTTTTCTCTTTCACTTTTTGACGCCAAAATCTTTGTGTGGATGGATGGCAAATGAGCCCAAAAGCCACGCCTTCAATGAAACAATCTCCCATCACAATGGCCAGCTCAGGGCTGAAAGGTACCTCTCCAAGATGCAAGGCCAAGTGCCAAAGCATCGTATGATTCGATCGATTGTACCAAGGATTTAGCGTTTTTCCATAGAAAACAAACAAAAACAGTCTCTGAGGGCACTTGAAGCAAAGTGCTAGCATCCGGAATGACCAAAAGATCTGCAGCGTGAGGTCCAAAATCCAACCACGTTGCCGCTGGGGCAAATCCTGCTCCTGTCAAGTGCTTGTCTGATCTCACAAAAGCAAGTATGAATACATATTAGCATTGTGAGCATTGTGAGCTGCGCAATGATGCACTTGGCGTTTCCCGGCATCCCCAGTCCATCACGTTGAATCTGCTTGATAGCGCTGGCTGGAACCATCTTCGTTCTCAAGACACCTGAGCGATCGGAGGCTCTCCAGGTCACAAGGGCAAGGATGGGCAAGGTGTCAGGTCGACATATCAGGATATCTCAAGGATATCTTAAGGATATCTCAGGAGCGGCTAGACGGCTAGACATGGCTCATGGATTTCACCTCGCAGGTCGACGAAGGCAACCAGGAAGAAGTCAATGCCTCGGGCCTGCGTTACACGGCACACGCATCACAGCAGCATGCACCGTGCTGTGCCCTGTGCCCCGCCAGGTCATGCCTTTGCGGCTTCCGAAAGATCTGCTTTGGCATCGAGCTTGGCCTCGAAAAGAACATGGAGAACATGCCCAAACATGCTCAAACTCACCTTGCTTATCCAGTCTTGTCCTTATCCTTGATTAAACATGATAAAACCATTAACAAAATAGTCAAACATCATTAAAAATCTGCCCATCCTTTTCGTCCTTTTCCACAGGATCAAAAGATAATTTGAAACTGAAATCACACGGAACCTTCCACAACCTCCACAGTCACACAGGTGAGCCGAGCTTCTCCCTGGGAGAAGTTTGGCTTTGTAAAGCAAGGTTCCATGCTGAATTGCACACAATACACACATCCTTGATCCCAGTGAAAACGATTGACTGCAAGGGCACTGCAAGAATGCGAGAACAGCGCAAGCACCTCCACGTATTTTTGTTGGAACATGTTTGATGTTGCTATCGGTACAAGATGGTACAAGAACCAGCACATATCACATGAGATCATATGAGGGACAAAGAGCAATTCCCATAGAGCTCGCCTTTTTGCCTGGCATGCTTTCGTCTTGAGTTTTCAGAGTTTTAAAGGGCCATCTCAGACCCTAGAGAAATGGTATAGCAAGTGAGCTACAGTGACAAGTTCCACTCTTGCGCCATCCTGCCACACCGAGAGAGGTCCAGAATATCCTACCAGTTCTTCATAGTTTTTCTAAATGATTTGGCTTTTTGGCTTTTTGAGTGCAGGAACTGCCCCTTCTCCCCAGCAAACGTTTGGGCTCTGCTGCATGCAAAGGCAAAAGTACGGCATGTCACAACAAGCAACTCTCCATGCAGCTACTGTGCTTGTTCCACCATCTCTACGCCACTGCTTCGAAGTCCGAAATTCTCCAAGAGTTCAAGGAGATGTACTTGTCTTTTCAATATTTTCATGTCTTTTCTACTACCTTAGCACTTTCTAGAACTTTCTCAAACTGTCTACTGTAGTGACAGCGTTTCAACACTGGGCATCAGTTCGCCAAGAAAACCTTTGTCACTTTCAAAAACATCTGGTCTTGTCTATTTAGTCCTTCCCTGAACGAAAGATCAATCCATGCACTTCTTTGGCCAGTTGTATGCAGAAGCGAAGATCTAAAAAATGGGTCTTGGACGACCGCACAAGGGAAGATCATGAAGATCACAACAATTGTGAGCTTTGATGAGCTTGATATACACTGTCGAATATAGCCTTGTCAGTCTTAACAATTTCAAACCATTTCAAACCATAGCTGCCGTCACCAGCGGTTCCAATGGCCCGGCCCTTTCAGATTCAAAGCGAAAGGAACGATATTTCCAGAGGTATTGAACCTGGCTGTGCGTGATCAAAGAAATTTGTCAAACATCTTTGGACAGAAGAAATAACGTTTAACGCATTTTAACGCCAGGTTTGGGCATCAATGCCACGAATTCAGAGTGAATATACAACCGTGTTGAGATGGAGCTCAACGAAGTGATTACTTTTGATTGCTTTTGCAATCTGAGGCCAAGGTTAGTTCGTGCTTGAATGGCACTAATGTTTGATTGAAGACTTCCAGCGCTGAGTGCACGGTGTGAGATGCAGCACGAAAGCATTTCTCAAGTAGGAAAAATCCAAGTGGGAAACAAACAGGTTTGCGATGTCTTCTCTGATATGTCGTCAGGGATTCTTTGCGCATCATTGATCTCCATCTAGGGCGCAACAAGCAAGTCTTCAGTTCAGAACACATCATCATGGCACAAGGTACAAACGGATACATCCTTTCCTCAGGAATGTCCAACAAGAATCACTATAAACAAAAGAGGCCACAGTAATTACAATCTGGACAATGGTCAAGTCCGGCTAGACTTGATACAATTTGTATCAATTTGTTGCTTTTCTATTTGCAAGCCACCCTGGCTGTTGGTAACACCTGTTCGCTTTGCATGGAAAATGTAAATTCACGATTGTTCTGAACTGAGCAAGAGCCTAGAAACCACCATGTTCAAATATCAGAACCACTAACACATTGTATCACACAGAGAATCATTGTGCTGGTACAACCTAGCCTGTGAAGTTCATTAGAAAGTTGATGCCATCAATGTTTTTGATATATATATATATAGTGACGGACAATCACTTAGAACGTAAATTTTTTTCCATTTTTTTTTCGTACTTAGAACGTAGCAAAATTTCATCACTTAGAACGTAGGGAAAATTCATCACTTAGAACGTCAAAATATCACTTAGGCCCATTTATCACTTAGAACGTAAACCAACACTTAGAACGTGCTAAGTGATTGTCCGTCGCTATATAAACTATTTTTTCGATTTCAAAATCAATTAAATTTCCTTATAAAGCGCAATTAAACATATTGCCAAAAATTGGATTTCGAAGCGGACCCTAATAATAAATTTAGACCCTTAATAAAGCGGCTATTTTTTCGACTTCAAAATCAATTAAATTTCCTTATATAACGCAATTAAAATATTGCCAAAAATTGGATTTCGAAGCGAATCCGAATAATAAATTTAAACCCTTAATAAAAAGACTAGTTTTTCGATTCAAAATCAATTAAATTTCCTTTTATAACGCAATAAGACTATTGCCAAACACTAGAGTTCGAAGCGGACCCTAATAAATTTAAACCCTTAATAAAACAAAACTATTTTTTCGATTCAAAACCAATTAAATTTCCTTATATAGCGCAATTGAAATATTGCCACAAATTGGATTTCGATGCGGACCTAAATAATAAATTTAAACCCTTAATAAGAAAAACCGTTTTTTTCGATTTCAAAATCAGGTAAATTTCCTTATAACACAATTAAAATATTGCCAAAAATTGGATTTCGAAGCGGATCCTAATAATAAATTTAAACCCTTAATAAAAAGACTAGTTTTGTGGCTTTCGAAATCAATTGAATTTCCTTTTATAACGCAATTAAAATATTGCAGAAAATTGGAATTCGAAGTGGAATCGAAATTATGTCTACCTGGAAAGCCTGGTGCCCGAAGTTTTGGTCACTTTCCAAAGTGCCCGAAATTTTGGTCACTACGGTTTTGGTTTTTTTTAACACCTGTTTGCGTTATTCAGTTTTGGCTTAGATACTGCAATGGATGAATCAACACATATCAAAACAACAGAATTCCATCATACTCCATGAGAAAATCACCGCTCCCACCACAAAACAATCGTATGAGTTGAGATTTCATATTCGACCCAGCCAAATGCCCTGACACCACCAGCTTTTCCATCTCCGTTGGGCTTTGCGATGCTGTTCGTGCTCAGCAGCTTGGCAAGGACACCGGCACCAGGGAACCAGGGCATTGAAATCATATCAATGTAGCCAAAGCTATTTGATAGCGGCTCAAAGTTCGCACATGGATTGTACGGATTGATACAGAACGGCTGTAAGTACATATGCGACCTACATAGTCTTCATCTTGCTGCGTGCTATACACTAAAGGGTTGGGGCTGGGCAAGTTCTGGCACTCCTGAACTTGCAGTTCGAAAACCAGCTCCCCAAACATATGCTGTTTGGGTTGCAGTTTGAATCTGGTCAAATCTGCCCAGTAGCAGTGGTCCGCACAAACCCTGAAAGCAGTGGTGAACTTGGTGCCAGAAACTATAAGAGTTCGTCTTTCTGAACGTGTAAGCCAGAAAGCGGCATGGTACAAAGTTGTCATGAACCTATTGGCTTCTCTTGTGGCTTTCAAACACGCCTGGAAAAAATTGTTGGTCTCTTCGTCCACACTGGCATCCAATAGTTTCTCAGGAAGAATCATCTCAAGAAATTTCAAGAGCGAAACTGTGTCAGCACCTTTGAACCAATTCCTGGGCAGTCCGCTGAATCACACAAAAAAAACATAAAATCGAAAACACATTTATAGCATGTCAAGAAAAATGTTTGAATTCTTGAGCAACCAAGAATCCCAATCGGGTACTCACTGGATTTTGTAAAACCAAGCAATTGTCGCGATAGGTGCATCATGTGCAGTTGCAATGAGTTCCGTGCGCAAAATTGTTTCAGCTCAGCAAATACGGTTGACAAATGCTCCTCAAAAGAGTTGCACCCGAAGATTCCGTAGTCATAGCAACATACCTGGGATGACTGGGCATCATGAGTTTTTATACTTTTTTGATTGCTTTTCCTAGTAAAAACGCGGTAATAAGATGATTAGCTGAGGCGCAATAATATTCGCTGCCAAATCTGCCATGACCCCTTTGTGACATGTATGGAAGACATCGATCCGAAAGAACTTCGCTTTGGACTGAGGGTCCATTGGAATATTCAAAGTCAAGTCAGATTCTTTGGTCCATGGAACTGGAACATCCTTGTGCATTGCCGCCATGTTCTCGTAAGTGGTATCATGCCAATCAGACCCATCAACCATACCTCCTCGGCACAGATGACAGATGCCTGCGCCTTTTTCTTTGCTTTTCGGGTTTCTTCCATGATGCCTGGATAACCGACCCAGCTTTGATAGGGCAGGCCAATCACCCTTAAGGGCCAGGGCAATGACATAGATGTGTTGCACCTTGCCATCAATCCTGACCCTGCACCCATGGTAAAACAAATCCCGGAGTTGCAGACTCAAGTGGCGCACCAATGCCAAAAGAGGTTTGTTCTTGTGTTTCTTTCCAGAGTACATGCGTCCAAGCATAACTGAGAATAAAAATCTTGTTTGCAAACTGTTGCCCACGAAGTTGAGCCCATGCGTCATAGAGTCAGCTTTGCGCTTTCGACTGCCTCTACCCAGAAGGGGTTGGGTTTGAAGCACCATTAAGGCTTTTTTTTAAACAGAAGTCCCTTCATCGGCATGAATAGCTACTGGAATACATCTTCCCAGGTGGTCATGGTGAACGTGAAAGATAGGATGGCCAGGTTCAAGTTGCCGCCAATAATTCCAGAACTCTTCATATTGTTGAGCCCGGTTGCCCATCAATAGAGTGTCCATTTTGTTGTCGGCATCCAATGTCTTGATGAAGTCGGAAACCGCTAAGATTGGGTGTGTTTCGGACAGGCCCACATCAACAAAACTCACTGGGATGTTGGTGCATAGCCCAAATTTGGGAAGGTGGCTGGACAAACGGTTCTCATGGTCTGTTCTGGCCAGCCTGGATGCTAATGCACAAAAGTTTCCACTTGGGACTATGGAATCGGGTTTCAGCAAGGGTTCGAACTCCTCCCAAAATGCCTGCACCAAATGGCAGGCTTCTTTTTCGGTAACCTCAGATGATGAGTCTAAAAACAATTCATAAGAACAATCTGTTTTAACATGGTAACATCAGATGTTGGTGGGGGTTGGACTTACAGCACCCCAAAAAAAGACAAAAAAAATATAGAGGCATAAAATAGAGATATATCAGGACAAAGTATAACAAACCTTACACCAAAGGTCCCCCTTGGCGATCGCCCGTGCCACAGCTTTGCCTGCAGGACCCACGGGGCCGTGCGAAGATGCAACTGCTTGAGGAGTGGAACCTGCGCATGGGTAGCTAACGAACTGAGGGTATAGTGGGCAAAAATATTTTGGAGATCTTTGGGGTAACGTCAGCACAAAGGGCAATATTTTCCCCAAGTTTGAAGCTCTTCTGCAAGTTTCTTGAACTACAGCTCATGCTGCGAAGACTCAGCAAAGTCAAAAGAATATTTGTCCATAGGACACGGACAGGGCCCCCTGCAATTCAAATGTTCCAATGCGTATGGGAAAAGTTTTCAGATAAAATCTGGCATGCTTCACGCTGCTGGGGCTACCCTGCCAACCCGACAAAAGCGCGTGCAATCACACGCCAGCGACCCAAAGTACATATAGATTGGCGCCAAATCAGATTGGCTCCTTGAAGCCTCAGCCAAAGACTATTTCAAGATTCAATCTTAGCATGAAACATCTTGGGGCCTGGCTTTGATCTTGCCAAGCTCAGGATCGAATATTCTCCATTGTCCTCACCAATAATTCCATGCAATCATTGATGCAGAGACAAATGTTGGCTGCCTCAAACTTTTTTTTTGGTCTAGATATGGCAAACTTAGAGATACCTGGCCTCAAATCAGTTGGCTGCCTTCTTCTTCTTAATCTTAGGTTTCTTTGCCGGCTCGGATGGTTCTGCCACGGCAGCCTTACGTTTCTTGGCAGGAGCTTTGGCCCTGGGCCTTTTGCCGCTGCCGCTGGGCGCATTGGCACCAGGCTCATCCCCTTTCGGGGGCTTGGTGGGCTTCAAGATCGTCCTGAGAGATACCAACATGATCATGCACTTTTTGGGGGGTCAGACTATATTTTTTCCAATGTAATGTGTGGACTGAGCTTTCATTAATATACCAAGGGCTGGACTTCTTCAGCTTTGTATCTTCCATCAAAGCGCGGGATGTCCTGCAAGTAGGGAAGATGTAAATAAGAAACCACCTCCATGGACAAGCTGAATGTCTGGGGCATGCACTCCACTTCGATGCTTCGCAGCAGGGTCTGCAATTGGCTCACCTTCCTAAGTCCGTGGTAGATAAGATCAAAGACTGGGCCTGAACAGAAACTACCAATGAATGATTCGGTTGAATATGACAAGGTTCGCTTTCTCAAATGGTTCTTCCCCATCAGATGCCTTCATGTGCCCATCGAAATAAGACTTGAGATCGGCAAGCTCATCATGTCGCTTTTCAAGCTTGGAACGGTAGGCATCCACCTTCGGGAGGCACCTTAGTTCATCAACCAAAAAGATGGGTTCATCAACCAAAAAGATGGGATAGAATAATTGTTCTTCGGTTATAATATATATAATATACTGTAAAGTCTGTGGGTCTTGGTGGGAAATTGGATATATATATATAAAGTCAATCTCATGGGCGTCACTTTACATTCAAGGGACTGCTGGCTTTCAGAAGTGTTCAGGGCTGTCAGCTTCTCACGGAGGGTATCCAATCGGCTCTGAACTCGAAGCAAATTGTCAACAACGGTTTTGATGTTCTCAACTGCCTCAAGGTGGCTCCAAGAATCTAAGTGGGACTAGTAAAGAGGATCAGGCTTAAATACTCTATACACCAAACATCACATCGTGTCTTTGAAGAGTGCCTCAAAGACTGGCTCATTCTCAAGGTCATCCGGTTTGGGAACTTTCGAACGGACACTGGGAGCTTCATTTCCAGAAGTAGACTCGGCCTCAGACTCGTCACCTTGGTCCTCGATGCCATCTGGCGCAGCAGGGAGCCCAAGGTCAAAGCTGCTGGCAATCCCTTCAGTTGACGTTCGGTCAACCAAAGACTCTTCGTGTTCATTCTCGAATGTGCCCGTGGTGGCTGTGTCAACCCAGTACTCTTTGAGGTCCCGCTCATACTTGTCACGCCTATACTTCAGGGACATGTTCCAGGGAGGTTGCATGCAATTTTGTGACATCAATCGCTATCAAATATACAAATATTGAGCGCCAAAACCCAGTGCCTCACATGCGTTTTCACCCTTGACTTCACAGTGCAGTACCTGACCGCATCCTTGATTCGCTTCCTGAGTGCACAGGCTGACAGATAGGAAAGGGAGGGAGAAGGGGATCAACAGGACACAAAGCTGCAGCATGGGAGAAAACAGAACATGTTGAACAGTTGAACATAATATAATTCCAACAAGTTTCGCATTCCATCCCAAAACTTTGCGCATGTTTTCCTTTGTGTAAAAACCTTTCTCCACCTTGAGTGTGTTCTTTCGAGACTTCTTGCTAAGGTGTTCCACCTCCTTCTTGAAGACAGCCTCTTGCAAATCACCAACGTCGCAAACACAACAACCACTCAGAGAGGAATGGGATCAATGGCAACAGTCACACCAACAAAAGAAAGAAAAACTGATCGAAAGAATTGGGATTAACCTGCCTTGTCCCCTTTGGCTCTGACCAGAACCTGCAACAAGACCTTGCGCTGCTGGCCTCCGGCCGCCCATTGTTTGTGAATCTCAGGGCTCACTTCCAACTTACCAGACAACGGTTTGGGACAGCAGAGACGACGAAGCTTCGCATCTAAGGCTGCCATCTTCTTGATCTCGTCAGTGGCCTGCATGGCCAAATATATCACTATATGGTGGAAATTTGATAGTTTGTCCTCTCCACACGCTGTTTGGTCAGAAACAAAAGAACCCAAAAGAATGTTGAGAACATGGCTGGGGTACACCAAGCCTTCTTGCGTTCGTCAACCGTAGTCTCATCAGCTGGTTCCTTCCAGACCAGGGCCCATCACTGGATATCCCAGATTTTGGTGGGAAGGGATTGGACAAATCCACTCACATACATATATATATATATATGTGTATATATATATATATTTATGTATATATATATAAATATATATATATGTAATTGTATGTGTTTACATATAGATACATAAAACACAATACCTGGAGGACCCCTTTCAAGGGAAATCTTATTATAAACACATACATACATACAATTATACAGTACAGTACATTACATTACAGTACATTACATTACATTGCATTACATTACATACATACATACATACATACATACACATACATACACTTAAATATGTATATATACAATTATATACATACAGATATGACTGATGTTTGTGGAGCCTCCTCATCATCCGTGTGCTCATCAAGGTCGCTTCGGGCAGCCACCTGCTCTTCGGGATCCTGGACATCCTGCACATGTTGCATGCATAGGCAAGGGGGGTGAACCAAGAGGAATGCTTACAAAACATCATCTAAAAGTAGACAAGGTTTCAAGTGTTTTTCAACGATATCAGTCCTTGTCAAACTTTGGACTTTTGTCTAGTGGTGTTGCCAATCTCTGGGGTGTATCAGCTGAAGCACATGCTGGAGACCCATGGCTTTGAACTGGGGAATGTGTCTTCCCACCAGCTGCAGGTGTCCCTGGGGCAGCTGAGCTCTCATTCTTCAACTTCTCCAGACGCGCCTTGGCAACCTTGGCAGTGGGTTGGACTGAATGGTTGTAAATTGGGGAATGGCCAAAAAAAGAAAAAAAAATATATATGGGCAGCTTAGGAACGGCAAGGATATCTCCGTACTCAAGTTTTTCCTTCTCCTTCTGGTCATTCAAGAAAGATAAGCCACGCATGAGTGAACCAGAGGACCATTGCTTGGAAAGGAATGGCCCCTTTTTGGGGAAACGTGCAGGGGATGATGACATGATCTACTGGATCTATATCCCTAAAATGACGCTTCTCCACCCTGTTGAACCAGCCACATTGCCAGAAACAAGAGTGAATGAACAATGATTGATAAATCACCGATCGACAAAATTTTCCTGAAGTTCAATTTTTCTGCAAATTTCCTTTTGTCATGCCACATGAGCCGTTCACCTGTGGCTGCACCTCAAAAAACACGTTCTATGGTCAACGTGCTGAAGTTGCCATTGCCACTGCCTCAGTGCATAATCGTAGATTTACGATCATTTACGAATTAAAAGCCGATTGGGCCAGAATTTTTGGCAATGCCCTGACCCATGAAAGTAGCCTATTTTAGGAGTAGATTTCCTATGGTTTTTTACGGCACTAGTAGGTCATTCCAATGGGTAATTTATGGACTTACATCATTTTGGTTCACAATGGCCCATATCAGTGGTTTTTTCAAAAACACCCATAAACGTAAATTCAAAACCCGTAAACGTATATTTTCCTGGGCCTACAGCAAAGCCTGCAATCGTAAATTGAATTGGTCAAACCCTATTTGACCTCACTGGGGAAAAGACACTTCCACTCCTCTGGAAGTTTCAAATGGGAATTCCCGTAGAGGTAGCGTAGCACCTCCTCCATCTGGGCATCGGCCCACAGGTCGGCGATGGCATTGTAGGGCATGGTCGATGCATCGAAAGGTTGGAGGAGCTCTGGAGAAGGAACCTGCAGTCAGTTGGAACATGCTTTTTCCCAGGGGACATATGAACAAATGAACTTGTATGAGTAAGAACATGCCATATTTCATTCCTTTGTATATATAGTTCAACTCTTTTTGACCAGGGGTGACAAGTTTATTTGGAGCGAGGTGCATACTTTGGGTGCAGTGGAGGCCCCCTTTCCTTCTTAAGGTGCTTAACTGAAGCAGCAAATTGCCTTCCATATCCCATAGGATATTGCCTCAGATTGGCAAAATACTGAGGAGAAATCAAAAGAATCAAAAGAATCAAATCATTGCGACTTAAAATTGACTAAGTATAGGGCTGACTTGATTTGAGCTTGGCATTTCCCTTATACCTCTTCCGACCATGTCGGTCGAAATAGACATCTGCCAGTTTCTGCTTGGCACTGCGTGCTTTCATGCGGGCATACTTCTTGGCAGTGGCAAAATAGCGAATGCCAGAACTGTTGGACCATAAAGTTGTTCGTTTTGGTGATTTCCCTCCCCATCGAGACATCCAAAAGGATTGCCGGAACACCTCAAATTTCAACAAGTTGCCCAGGTGTCCAAAACCAATAAACATATATTACAGGTGTCCAAAACCAGTATAAACACATTTTGTTTATTATGCATCATGTTGTTCGATTCCAACAAAAATGTTCTATAAGTGCCATGGCACTCTCACATACCTGAGTATCATCTGGAATCTGGGGTGCCGAAACACCAAAGAGGAATGTGGTTGTTCCAGAACCCATGTTCCACCTTTGGCCATGATGAGGAGGATCGCCAAGCATGTCCTGCCAGAGCGCTTGGGCAGGCAAAGCAGCGGGGGTGGCAAGTGGCTATTCTAAGTGCAAAAAAGCAACACATAAGAAATCAACACAAGATTCGTTTTACATTTTTTTCGATTGAGATTTTGGTTTGTGATACTCACAAATCAACATTCACCCTTCCCATGACTTGTAAAGAAATAAGGAACTGCATGGGTCCTTGCTGTCAATAAATTTGATATCGCAACTGATGGGCTGTCGGGATCTCCAAGAGGTAAGAAATAATGTCGTCGTGTTGAACCACGTGAAATTGCTACCCATGTGGCGCATAGCAAAGCAATGGATACAACCAAATCGTCGTCCTTGCCTGACATCAATGTCACCAAAAGTAACCTGAGCAGATAAGGTTGTTACCAAGTACTGGCATGTTGAACTTATGACAATCCTATATATATAATTATATATATATACACATATACAAGAACCAGAGGAAAAACAGCAACATTATATAAGGGACGCAAATCCACTTGGCGTCGTTAAATCCAGAGGGTTGCCCTTGCACATGCGTTTGTTGGGCTGAAGCATTCGAGCTTGGATCCAAGGGTTCCAATCTACGATGTCCAGGCTGCATGTGGATAATCCAGATGCCCGGAGTGCACGGCTAAGAGTTCCAACGCCCGAAAACATCTCAATAGCTTCATACTCCTGAAAAAAGGGATTTCTGCAAAGTTAAATCACTCCTTTTTGGAAACAGGTTAGCTGTTTGAACCAATAATTGTTCCCGACTGCAATCCCTGCCAAGCCTGACCCCAATCAATGCCCTCAGTGAAAGACAATAAGATCACGGCAAAGATAAGCACCTGGGCCACAAGAATTCCAAATTAAGCTGATCAATCTTCAATAATAGATTCGTTTCTGAATTGTGCTACACACCATGTCAGGCGAGTTTCTTCTGGGACACCCCAATGAAGAAGGCGGTGCATCAAGCGCATCAGCGAGGCTCGTTCCATCACCGGCATCCCAGCTACAGTTGAGGCCAATTTTAGATGACCTCTATAGAATCCGAAAGGTTTGTGCAAGAGGCCAGCACTGAGAAAATGAAAGAAAATCGACATCATTCTGAAAGTTAGGACTACAACAATTCGATCATAATTTGTTTCACAATGTTTAGAAGATTTTTCGACACCCTCTTTCAAACGGGAACTGGCTGCAATGGAAGTGATGGGGGTCATGGCGAATTGCATGCTGTCACAATCTGGTGAATACTGTCCCACACTCACACCCAAGGGCAGCATACCCCACCCCAATGCACAGAGAGGGGGAAGCGCACCGACAGGTTGTGGAGGACGACGTTTGATCCTTGCACCATACATCTCCTGGCATGTCCAGGTGCGCTGGGCCGGTGAGACACCTTCCAGGGTTTGTATATATATATATATATTTATATATAATATATATATATATATCAACATGTAACACTTGGATTTGGACGTGTATACATATATATATATATATATCGATCTATATATCTGAAAGAGAGAAAGAGAGAGAGAGAGAGAGAGAGGAGATATTATCCATGCATGTGTTGCAACATGTAGTGCAAATCCTTTGAGGCAAAATCAAGTGCAGGCGAACTATATCTGTTTTTCCAATGTGCCTGCGAATGGTGCATCGCATGTCACGGAAACACGGCCTGCCTCCCTACTCAAAGGCCTTTTCAAATGACAGATTCTGCCAATAATGGCACCCAATCGGATTTTGCTAAAGCTTTCAGGGCAGTGACGCCAGCGCACATGAGAGAACACAGAATGAGATATATTGATGATTTCAATGCATTTAAAATCTTACAGGCTCACACCCCGCATGTGGCATGTTCAACTGCCAAACACCCCCAAAAGTTGGCAAGGGTATCCCTGCCAAAATGACATCCCGCTGGAAATGTCATGAACATCACTGCCATCAGCACAGGGAAGAAGCTGCCAAAGATCTCGGTGGGCAATACCTGGGCCAAGGAACGGATGCGGAGGGGAGGGGCTCAGCAGACTCCAACAAGTTTGGGTATTTTGGCATGTCTTTTATATTGTATTAAAGATTGTTGATCTTGCGTGATGTCTATAAAACATGCGGCTTAAAAAAAAGGCTGATTCAGATGAGTTTCCTGGATGCGTTCACCGTTTACTTTGACAACTTGGATCTTTTGACCATCTTTTTGCAAGACTTCGTGGGCTTGCGCTTCTTCTCAATCCCACCCGGACCCCCTGCCACAGCAGGCTCCACCTCATTACTGCCAGCACTGTTGCTGGCGGCCCCCTCCTCAGCACGGACTTGCGCTGCGTTCCGTCCACGAAACTTTGGGTTCTGACAAGTCTTGCAGCCACCGAAGATGA